TCAAATAAGTCTAATTAGATATACCAACTTCCAAAAATCCCTTCATATATATGTAAACTAGGTCCAATCAAATGGAAAATGTTTGGGTGCCTGGGCCTGTTTGGCCCAAATTTAAACTAAGAACTCATGGTTACAAGATAATGAATTGGAAAAATTGGTGGTGTAAGTTAAGCATTGTGCAGTACTAAAACACCAACCTCAAAGACCTCATCCCATTGGCCCAGAATTTGATTTCATTCATGATCATAGGATTGTACATTTTCATTCTTTTTTCTTCTTTTTTTTTTCCAGTTGGATACAATAAAAAAGAACAACAACGTTCAACGGGTAGAATCAGAATACGATTTTTTTTTCCCAATAAGTGTCAAAATATGATGTCAGGGGAGACAAAATATATGATTAGAAAACACATCAGCCGAAAAAAAATTAAGTTCAAGCATGATATATTAAGATTTAAGACTCAACTAGTATATGAAACATTAAAATCAATTTTTCTCTATTCTAAATGAAATAGGAGTAAAAACCACATAAACTAACTTTTTTCGGTGGAATTCTACGGTCTTTTAAATCCCAAAAACTATCGATAATAGATTAGATATAAGCTATAATTTTCCATCATTCTCTTTTGATGTGTGCAATTATCAAGTCTGAGACAAAATCTTCATCATTTTTGTCGTGAAAAGTAATTCTAATCATAATGCATTAGATTTTAAAAGAAAATAGGGGATGATGCATTAGATCGAAATAGTATTATATTGGCTCAATATATCTATAATATAAAATAGGACAGGTTTCAATAAGTTCATCCGAAGGTCTCAAATAGACTCATCCAATGACCACCAATATTTTTTTTTAAATTATTAATATTGCATCGTACTTTCAGACGCGAGTTATTTATAGTATATATAAATATATTATATATATATTCTGAGAATCGTCTATTTTAGGTAGCAAACATTGACTTTGTTTAAAAATTATTCATAATAAAATTTGTTGCTTCATTTGCACTCAAAATTAATAAAAAGCTGTTTATGAAGAAACCAGGGATGTTTAATATAGTTAGATACAGTAAGAAGTTTGACCATTATGGAATGTAGATGATTAGGTATCGTGCAATGCTTATGTCAATATAATATTTTGGACTAACCCTCATAAATTAGCGTTTGGTGGTATGCTTATGTCATTATAATATTTTAAAATATTTTTCATAAATAACCTACAAAAAAATAAAATAAAAGATGCACATAGTTGTTGAGAGATCCCATATCGCTAAACCAAATTGTATGACTTTTTTATAGGTGATCGTATGTGGTAAGCCACATCATGGATGCCACACTTGGGGTGTGTTTCAGGTCGCGGATTAGAAGGGAATAACTCTAGTAAGATTGGAGAAAAAAATACGTGGAGTTTATTTATGTGACATTTGGTGAGTGAAAAAGTGTATCGAAAATCCCACTTGAACGAGACCGAATATGCTCATTTACGTCCTACCGACTGACAGATAAATGAGTTTAAGTTAGATAACAAATGATATATCGGAAAGATCTCTAATCCAGTTCAACCTTTCCATCCTAACACATCCTTCCACTGTATTTTGGTTCTTTCCCTAAGGAAGATAGAGTTAATTTAGGTAACATGAACGTCTTGAATTCAAATTTTGATCACTCTTTAGAGCCCAACAATAATGGATTTATACTCATGAATATTTTAATTCTGATGTAGATGACCTGCCTTTGACCAGATTGAAGAGAAAATTAGTTGAGATTCAAATAAATTGACTTGAACACTGATCGTTGAATAAACAAAAACAGAACAAAAAAAAAGGAAAGAAAGTATGATCTCAAAAGATACATAATAATTACTCAAGTATGAGTAGGAAGAAGAAAGGGTAAATTACACTTTATTTTCTTGAACTATTACTCTTATTTTAATTTATATTCTCAATTATAAATTTTTTTACATTATATCCTAAAGTATCAATTTTGTATTGATAACAAATATCAATTTTTGACAGTAAATACCCATGTGAGTGATCTATATTGCCAATAAATAGCTATTCATTGCACACATGCAGGTTAAAAAAAAAATACATATTCCTGACTTTATCCTTCTTAAGTTCTAAATTTTTTTTTTCCCTCTGTTAGACCTTATTTTTCTTCCTAGCAACTATTTGGTTGCAAAATAGATAAAATAAAAATAGTACTAGACATTTGGAGGGAAGCTCTTTTGAGTTCCTTCCCTCATTTGAAAGATTTTTAAATTTATCATTATTTATTAGAGTTGATATGAAATAAAATTGATATTTTAGGGTACAATGTAAGAAATTTTATACTTAAGGATATAATGTGAAGTAAGGATAATAGTTCGANCGTTTGAAATATTTTCAAATTTATCGTTATCTATTAGAGTTGATATGAAATAAAATTGATATTTTAGGGTACAATTTAAGAAATTTTATACTTAAGGATATAATGTGAAGTAAGGATAATAGTTCAAGAAAAAAAGTATAATATACTCAAGAAAAAACCATTTTGCACATAATTTTGGAGTTACAAATCTCTTGAATTATGTTGCAAAGTTAATGGAAACTTAATAAAAACATGATTTTCCAAATATTTTGGTTACTCTTCTTATTAAATAAAGGCATTATTATTCCAATTACCAAAATTATCTCAATTCTCAAATCATTTTCAGAAGTAAATCCATGCAAAGCCAACAGATTTATCAAAAATTCAATTTTCTAAAGTTTTCAATAAAAAAGATTCCAAATATATTTTTAGCAAATAGCTATGAAAGTCAAATTATTTCCAAATCTTAAATTTGTTATTGGGATAATAATAGGTCATATCCTTTTAGATCTTCCTGTCATGTCAAATCTCACTCAGCATTTACTAGCCGGCTTACGCGGTCCAACTCTATAGGACTTGACCACATAACTGACGAAAATAATTATTGAGAATTACACTTTAGACCGGAGGCGAGTTTTCTTATTTAATCACTCAAATTCTTTCGTGTTTGAAATATTACACATAAATTTTTAAAATTTATATATTTGTAACATTTAGACTCCATGTCGTCAATGTTCACTGGTATATCGTTAGTAAATTTTATTTAGATTTCTTGAAATTTATAAACATATAATATTTAGACTCCTCAAATTTAAAATGTTATGCTTATACCAAAAATATTCCAATCAAAAATATAATATTAAATATTTTAAATTTTATAACCAAAATTAATGATCTATTATGAGATTTATTGAAATAAAAATTTAATTTTTTCTTAAAAAAATATACAATTATACTATTTATTGAAATTTTATTTGATCGTTTAAACGACCAAATTAAACTATCAAATTACCTTAATTAAAGTTAGAATATATTATGTCAATTACAGTTTGATCCCTTGTTTGATTTTTTATTTTTATTCCAATATATATTATAATTGTATACTAATTATAATTTTTTTAAATTAGATTTTATTTTAATAAATGATGTAATAGAACATAAATTTTGGTTGTAAAATTCACGTTCTATTATGAATGATTTAAACCCTTCGTTTGATATTTTAGTTTTATTCTAATAGATTACAAGTTTTTAAGAAAAAAATTGGTTTCGTATTTTTTATTTTGTTTCAATAAATGATACAATAGGATATGAATTTTGATTAAAAAATAAAAAATATTTAATTTTTATCTTTGATTGAAATATTTTTGGTCTAAATATAACATTTTAAATTTGAGAGTCCTAAATATTATATGTTTACAAATTTAAGGGGTTTAAGTATAATTTATTAACGGCAGGGGTCTAAATATTATATGTGTACAAATTTTAAAAGATTTATGTGTAATATTCCAAATATCATGAGATTTAAGTTATCATAAACTTCCTCTATTGCATATTTTTACTACTCTAATAAGTCGTATTTCAAAATTGGGTCAACCCATCGCGACAATTAGATTATGGTCAGTGCTGTTAAGGCTAGCGTATTAATTACTATATGATTGTGTCATACTAACTATTATTTCTATATTTAATTTAATTTTATTCTTATTCCAACCAAATGGAGCCACTGCGAAAGAAATTGAAGCACTGAACCAAACCCCCAACCACCATCAACGGTTGGTTCTAGAAAATCACAGAGAGAGAGACAGAGAGAGAGAGAAGGACGTGTCGACTAACATATGATCGATTCTTGAAGCAAACGACGATGTCGACTGAGCATCAACACGCCTTGCTTCAGATCTGTCCTTCCTTCAATATCCTTTAGGGTTTCAATCTGTTGATCTTTCGTATATATGACTTGAACAATGCCTTCACGCATCACATTGTTCTCGTAGATACGCACTCATAGGTATTTGCTCGATCGAGGTTCTGTGATCCGATCTCTTTTTTAAATTCACATTGAAAATGTTGGATTTGTTCACTGATTGGATTTGATTTTTGTTGCCCATTTCAGTTTTGAATCGGTTTCGGTGTAGGAAAGGAAGAAACAGAAATGGCAGATCCTGAACCTGTATCACCTGGACTGGTATGGTTCATTTCGAAATCTTATTGATAAATGTTTTTTTTGTGTTGTTTTTTCTAAATTTTCATCAATGTTGATCCCTCTGCGTGTTCATGTGTGTGCATGTGTGGCTCATATCCTGTGGTTAAATTTTATATTGGATGATCAACCATGGACAAGTAATTGTAGTTGTATGAATCTGGTTTTTGGAGAAGCTGGGTGCTGCAGTGCGAATGTTGAGATTACAGACTGGCGTATTAATCCCATTGTGTTTTATTTCAATTGTGACATCCACGTTCATAGTGAAACTTGGAATTTTATCTTGTACTCCATTGATGGAAATCTGATCTTTATGTTGTAAAATGGAATACAAGAAAAAATAAAATGAGAAATGAATGTGTTAATCATGGATTAGGAGTGGCAATGATAGATAGATAATGGTAGTGAAGGTCGTACAACATAGGCCTGCTAACAAGCTATTAGTAGGAAGGCCAAAGGACACGAGGAAGCCCAAAATCCAAGGCTGTGAGAAAGGACATGATTGCTTTGGGAAGGACTGTGCCTATGGATTTACAAAGAGCTAAATGGGGAAGAAGGATCCCTGTAGCCAATCCAAAGTAGCTGGAATTAAGGGTAGAGTAGTTCACTTGAGTTGCTAATCAGGTGTTCTGGTTGTTTGTAGTTTTTGACTCAAAAAATCTGAATTTCACAACTAATGATTCATGAGAAGAAAATGGAAATTGGGAAAAGGTAATTGTTGAGTCTAATGATTGTATGAACATCAGTACTGCTGGGATGAACTTCCGTAAAAACCATATTTCTGTTTCTTATTCTTAAAATAAAGGAAATAGTCTAACCATCGTTTAAGAGCTTTTGAAAACTCAACATATCAAACTTTAAGTCGGTTAATGGTGCAGTTTCTATTGTAATTTCCTTTTTGATATGTGCAGTTCTGTTGTAACTTCTATCAGGACTTTTCATGTGAAGTTTTTTGGATGCCAGAATTGATAAATCATGTGGCTATCTGCAACCACATGGTTGTATCTCATTGTTGATTGAGGCTTTATCTTTTTCTTTAAATTTTTATTGTTAAGTTGGACCATATCTGTTTCAACTGAAAAATATGTGTCTATCATGGATACGTGATTGATTGGATCGGTGTTTCTTTTTTTCGTTTTACAGTTTGGTTGTAAGTTGGACAATTTCTTTTCAAATAGAAAAGAAGAATGCATCTAAGTTATCTCTATGCATTATAGTATCCAGTTATGATGGAACAAAATTTTCTATTCAGTTTTTGTTTTCAGAAAATAAATGTTCATGTCTTTATCTTCTATTTTGAACCAACAACCTGGCAGTCTTGCATGTTTTGTCTTGTGTGTTTATCTATTTATTGTCAATTTGAGGCATGTCTTTATTTAGTGTCATGTAGTTGTTACCATTAAGTACATATGCATTATGTGTCTGATGAAACCTTTTACTTGCCATGTTCCAGGTGTCATTCTTGCTTGGAATTGTCCCCATTTTCGTAGCATGGATATATTCTGAATGTTTAGAATTTAAGAAGTCTATATCCCCTCCTAAAGTGTAAGTTTCCTTCTTCAAAATGGAGATCTATGAACTTACTGTGTAGGATTTATACTCTGGTTTTGAGTACTAATCTCCTCTTCCCCCTCCACCCCCCCAACCAAAAAAAAAAAATGCCCGAGTTATTTTTTTTTTCTAAATTTAGGGGGGTTGGGACAAGGGACAAATTAAAAAATTCAGCTTGGAGGCTGAAAACACAGTTTCACATATCCATCCACAAACCACTTGAGCTTTAGCACATTTGGTGATAGCTGTGTAAAATTATTGTAGTCTGAGCTTATAATTTTGAACCAAGGTGATTATACTAGACCACAGGTTTCACCATGGGAGTGTGTCAATTGAAACAGCACTGCTTATTTTTCATCATTGCAACTAGATAGGAGGACTGTGGAGCTGATCAAAATTGCAATTATTTGAGATATTTTGAATCACATTTCTATTTTTATTGGAACATAGAATGGGATAAACTGTGAAAGTGTTGGACCTGGTGAAAATAGGAGTACTGGAGAGATGACATGAGACTATCAGCCTTAGAGAAATTGAGATCAAAGGATGGTAAATAGGACGGTTTTTGGGATTAGCCTATCTGAGCTGCAGCTAAGGTTGATTGTTGTTAATAGGCTTGTAATGAATGGGCTTTTGCAGATTTGTTGGGCCACTACTTTCTTGTGATCATTTGCCAGAAGTTTGTTTGATGTGATGATGGGATTACAAGGGTTAATATGATATGAATCTGAAATGTTGAATGTATACAATATTTAAATCACATAAGAAAAATATGATTTATAAAAGAAATATTGAAAAGTATTCCAGCTTGTAGGGAACAGAAGGCTAATCTCAATTTTATATTCTTGTGGTTTAGGTACCAAAGGTTAAAAGTGTACAAATTTTATGATTCTATACAGAGTGTATTATTCATATTGTTTTCAGCTTTTCCTTGCCTTCATATTTGGTTTCCCTTAATTTCAAAATGCTTAATGGGGACAATGGTTTTGTGTTTTCTTAATAGTCTTTAGGGCAAATTTCATTTTACTCCCTTATGGTTAGAGTAGTACTAGAATTTATTAAACTTATGATGACCTACGATATATGTACATTGATCTCAAACGGGGTGGGTTAGTGATCTAAATTACTAAAAAAAAAAAAATTATCTAAATTACTAAAATGTACGATCCCAAGTTATATAAAATACATATTAATTAACTATGTGCATATAAATTTATAATTATATATTATTTCAGATAATAGAAAATCGAGCACAAATGTAAGATAAATGGTAATTGACTTATTGTTTATGGATATTTTATGATATATAATATTGTATAGAGATGAAAATGATCTAGATAAGAGTTCTAAAATGAATTGTGACTCCAGACACCGTACCAGTTAAGCTTACCTAAGGAAGTGTCGTATTCATATAACGTACCAAAGCGACCGACGATCCATGTAACATTGGTTTAGACCCCTTAGCACATGTTGCACATCAACCCCCCACCCCCTCAAATTCAAAAATAGCCAAATAACCCTCATGTGGTTGCTACTTTACTGCTAACATTAAGTAGTGTTCATCGGCTGTGCCTTCTGATAAGATCTTCTTGGCTACAACTGAAAGATAAAGAAATAAAGTAACAAGAGGTTCTCACTGTCCACAGTCCACATGACGTAGTGAATCTATTTGCCCATAGGCTGTATAAAGTCATCTTTTTATCTTAATGTCATCATCTAGTTCTTTTGAGGTCAAGGACCACAGAGATCATAGGAATCCATATGTGGTTGATTATGGATTTTACCAGCTATCGACTTCCCAATTGCTTCTGAGCGGTATCTTCTTCTCTCCTAGTTGGATGCTTAATCATCAATCGCAAATTTTCTTCACAGTTGTGTCATAGAAAATTATTTGCTTGCTGATACTTGAAATGAACCCAGAGCACTGGATTTTCTGGTTATTGGATGAAACATTAAAAATTTTTGGTTTATGAATCTGAATAAGTAAATACAATTTAGACCTTAGATGCACATGGTGGGAACAATCATGAAACCAGTTGGGTGTTGAAAGTTTTAGAATATGGAACAAGTGGCATTGCAGTGTATACTTCCTCATTATGCGTACATTTATGATGAAGTAAATGGATGAGAAATGTAATATGATAATCAAATTTGCAATTAATAGCTTTCCAGAAATACATGCTGATTGAAAATTATCAGTACATTTGAATGTTGAGTTGAAGGAACAATTGGTTTTGGTATAAAAAAAGTTAGATGATCATTCTCTTTTCTGTTTTGAAATAGAAAACTGAGCAAGAAATGTGGCTTTTATTTGTCCTCTAGAATATTTTAAGCTGACTTTCTTTGTTGGGAAGCCCTTTCAATCTTTTTGTAAATTAGAAAAAAATATTTTAAGTATGAGTCCTTTGATAATTGGTGCTTGCCTTAAGTTAGCTGAGGCAGAACGACTAATTTGCGGTTATTCTACAACTTCTAGATCTTAGATATGACCATGACGGTAACAGAATGGTGCTAATTTTGTAGTTATTTCCTTCTGAATATATCAAAATGATGATTGAAGGATGATCCTTTCCCTGCAATTTTGTCATGTTTGCTGGGATATTGTCACAAATCATTAAATTGGGATCTTCCTTGATAGTCTAGCAAGTATTGTACACATTGTTCCATCTATTTAATTGCTTTTCGCTAAACTTGGTAGAACTTGAACTCCTTATGCAATGCTGGTGTGTGAGTAAAATCTCAAAACGATTTAATACTTAGCTGTTAAACAGATATTAATGTGCTTTTTTGTGCGATTGCTCTCAATGTTGGCCACTAGAAATTTTTGCACACATTTTCACGATTTCGCATTAGGAATTTTATCTATCTTCGGCACATTAAGGAAGTAATGGTCTTTAAGTTTTAATATCTTTTGATGCTGAAAAACTGACTTTTCGAGCAACAGTCATTCAGACATTAACCTGGTTGAATTGGGAAATGAGACAATCAAGGAAGATGATCGGACTGTTTTGCTGGAAGGAGGCCTCACAAAATCAGCATCTACGAAGTTGGCTACTACTAACATTAAAGCAAACTTAATTAGGTTGATTTTCTGTTTGATTTTTTGTCGTCAAGGTGGAATTTCTTTAGGATTGTGTTCGTAGAAGTCTTTCTTACTCCCTGCACTTCTTGATGTTTTAGGTTTCTGACTATGGACGACTCATTTTTGCTAGAAAATCGAGCAACTTTGAGAGCAATGTAAGTCCTATCGTTTGTTGATGACAATAACATATGGTTGACCACCCCACTCCTTATACATGATGTTATATTCCATATAGGTCTGAATTCGGGGGAATTCTATTCTACTTCTACTTATGCGACCGGACGAATATATTGGCAGATTCTACCAAGGTGCTTTATGTTTTTTGTGCTGCAATTTGAATTTTATCGTTGATTTCAATATGCATAGAAATATTGGCTTTGAGTCATAGTTGGTTAAGTATTAACTCTTGGCTATAACAGTATGCATGAGTATGTAAAACTTGGTGAAATTAATGTCTATGGGGTATAGTTAGAAAATGATGTTACTCCGTTAAGTGGTCAACATTTTTGAAGCAAATTTGTTCTGATCTCACACCTTATTGCAGAGTTACTGTCGTCTAGAAGAATCAATTGAAGAGTGGAATTTGATCTGTTGAGTGAGCTTTGCTTTATCCATTGGGTGTATATTCGAAGGGTCACCATTAACTGTGCTTTTTAACTAGATGCTATTGAGGGCGTGTGATATCACAACTTATAGGCATTGCATTTAGAATTTTGTTTCACAAATTTGAGTTTAAAAGAGCCTTTCTGTCAAAAGAAAAAAAAAAGATCTCATACTGGGAAAACATATTCTTAATGATACTTGAAAGGTTCAGGGTAATTTTAAACTGCTTTACATCATACTAATTCAAACCTGTTGAACATATGTCGTAGTACTGTTAGAAATAAAAGAACAACCATGATATGTTAAAATAATATGCGGCTTTTTAGGGCAGCTAAGTTTTTGACGTCTATGTACCTAAAAAAACTCTGTTTGAGTTTTGGAGGATGTTTTAAGCTTAAAGAGTATAATCGCATGTTGAGAAGGAATAGGCTGTAGCCAGTTCTTGTTAAATTTGATCCTTTTTTGTTTTTTTTGCCTTTCCTTGAACAGAGCTACAATCGCGATCTTTTTCTCTTTCTGTACATACTTCTCATCATCGTTTCAGCAATGACTTCTCTCAAGAAACATCAGGATAAGTCGGCATTTTCTGGCAAATCTTTACTCTACCTTAATCGGCATCAGACGGAGGAGTGGAAAGGATGGATGCAGGCAAGTATTTATGTCAAAGTTCGTAACTTGAATGCACTGGTACTTTGGCTTAGTTAAAGAAGAATGTACTTTATGCATTCCCTTTGGTTCAGTTCCACTCAAGTTGATCATCATTGTTTATATTCTGCCTGGTGCTTCCTTAACTTTTATTTTTTTGCAAGTTGCAATCCCTTTCCCCTGAAAAACCAAGCCATTTTGTGTGTGGATATGACACCACTTAATTTATCTTCGTGGTTATTTGTTTTTGTTAATGACTATTTCAACATCTCAGTCAGGTATTAGATGTTGCGTGTTTCAGCTGGTATGTTCTGTGTATATTGAACATTCACATAACGTGTAATCAAACAGCTTTACTAACTTGAGCAATGTAAATGGTTTTATGCTGTGTATTCCACAGGTCCTATTTTTAATGTATCATTACTTTGCTGCAACGGAGATATACAATGCAATACGTGTTTTTATTGCTGCATATGTCTGGATGACTGGTTTTGGCAACTTCTCCTACTATTACATTCGCAAGGACTTCAGCGTTGCACGGTTTGCTCAGGTGATATTATTGATTCTTGATGATGCTATAAATTAACATTAATACATGCTATGTATACTCTACATTATTCATATTTCTGTGGATGCCTCTTAAGTTTTTATTTCTTTTCTATGCAGATGATGTGGAGGCTAAATTTTTTCGTGGCATTTTGTTGCATTGTCCTGAACAATGACTATATGCTGTACTATATCTGCCCCATGCATACGCTTTTCACTCTTATGGTGTATGGGGCCCTTGGAATTGGCCACAATTATAATGACAAAAAATCAGTGATGGCAATGAAAATCGCCGCATGCTTTCTGGTGGTTATCCTGATTTGGGAAATTCCTGGAGTTTTTGAGTTTGTCTGGCGTCCTTTGACATTCTTGTTAGGTTAGTGACCAGCATAACCTTTTTATGCTTATTTGTTTTATTCTATGCCATTAACTCAAAGCTTGGCAGAGTTGATTTAAAATTAGCTGAGTTGAATCACGTAGCAAAGTTATTTTTTAGTGCTAAACCCTAAACCCTCTGCTACTGGTTTCATGTTTCTCTGCTTATGGTCTTCAGACTCATGAAATTTCCTGTGCTTTCCTTTTTCCTAATTCTTTTCTCTGATGAGTTTTTGGTGCTTGTATGTTCTTATGCGGTCTTCTTCTTTAGTAAGATTTTATCCTCACAAAAATAGGTGACATTTTTTGGGCATAATAATGTTATCAAATTATTATTAGATGGAACTCGGTTTGTTGCCACTTGGGCCTAGCAGCAAAATTCCATGTTGAGCCTGGTTTTCGAGTTTTTGCTTGATGTTTGTACCGGCTGGCTTAACTACCTGAGCTTAGTTCTTTCTATTGGCAGGGTATACTGATCCTGCAAAACCAGATCTCCCCCGGTTACATGAATGGCATTTCAGATCTGGACTTGATCGCTACATATGGATCATCGGAATGATATATGCTTATTTTCACCCTAACGTAATTCTTGAAGACTGGTGATTTGTTGTTTCCTTTTGGGTGTGCCAACTGCTAAATTTCATTATGGTTTATTGCGAAGGTTGAGAAATGGATGGAGAAACTTGAGGAGTCTGAACCCAAGCGGAGACGAGCAATCAAAACAGGCATTGTTGCGGTTTCCTCAGTTGTGAGTGGGATTATCTGGTTGATTTTGGAATCATCTTTCTGTTTATATATTGACTTTATGATCTGATTTTATACAAATGATCTGTCTTAGGCTGGCTATTTGTGGTATGAATATATTTACAAGCTGGACAAGGTTACATACAACAAGTTCCACCCCTACACATCATGGATTCCTATAACGTGCGTATCAAGATTCTTGTCTTCATTTATATTTTTTATTTTCTCTCCACTAATTAATTTTTTTATTGTCTCTTGCATCTTTTTACTATTTCTGCTAAGAAGAATTTGTATTGAGGATCCTATACAGCTTTGTGTGTAGAATACTCTGTCTCATTAAAAGCTAGAAGTTGAGTTTGCAGTATCATACTGTCAACTGTGCTGCCTTTTCGTTTCAGTGTATACATTTGCTTGCGGAATTTCACTCAGGAGCTTCGGAATTTCTCATTGACCCTCTTTGCGTAAGTTCTATTTTATCCACTTGATTTGTAGTTCTACCACGAACTACACCTTCAAAAGATTCATGGAGGTTAAAAATTGTTTCCTATCTAGCTTATTGGAACACTAAATTTCCCGCTCGCTCTAATTGTTGCTGCACTGCACTAATAGGTGGCTTGGCAAGATTACATTAGAAACCTACATTTCCCAGTTCCACATCTGGCTGAGGTGAGTAAATTTTTTGGTTTTTCGTTTTCACTCTTTGATTATTAGACTTAAATGAACTGCTGAAAAGAATTATAATGCGTAACCTGCATTACGAATCTTGGGGTGGTTGATGCAATTTATTTTTAACTCTCTTTGCACATTGATTGATTATTTTATTTCTTTATCATATATCCACAAGTTGTTAAATATCCGAAATTATTTATCATATATAAATATTATCTGGCAAGTACAAGATCTTTGGATTTCTGAAATTATACCTTATTTAATTTATGACTTACTGTTTTTTACGTCAGATTTCTTGCTTAGCCATTAATTGTAAGAAAAAAAAAGAAGAGCAAAAGTTTATTTTGTTTTCATTTCTTTTTTGGTTTTTTTTTTTTTTCATTTGGTGATTAGAATTTCAAATCAAGGTAGAGATTATACTTGATGCTAACAAGATGCAAAGCCTTACCCACTGTCTGACGTGATGAGATGCATCTACAGATCAAACACCCCTAACGGACAGCCTAAGTGGCTACTTTCTCTCATCCCAGATTATCCTTTGCTCAACTTCATGCTCACAACTGCTATTTATGTATTGGTGAGCAAGTTAATTTTTAAACGTTTCAGATCTAGATGCCTGAAGAAACTAACTAGTCTAAAGTTTTTTATATGGTTTTGGTACTTTTCTGGTCTCTGCAGGTATCCTGCCGGCTCTTTGAACTGACGAATACACTCAAATCTGTTTTTGTACCCACAAGGGACAATCGGCAGCTTCTGTACAACTTTCTTGCTGGAGCTGCAATTTCTGTGTGTCTTTATTGCATCTCGCTCATTCTTGTTCAGATCGCTCATTAACCAGTAAGTGACTTTGTTACACACCCACCCACCCACACCCACACACACACAGTCCACAAACCAGTTATCATTTTTAGGAGCAAGGTATCACATCAAGTATGTGTTTTCCCATGTTATCCTAAATGCCCCGAAGGTGGAGACCCTTTGGTTTCAATGTTATGCAGTTGGACATATGCCCCACAAAACCACAGGCTTCTTTTCTTGAATTGTTATGACTAACTTCTATGCTACATCCTTGACATTCACCTTTTACAACTATTTTTACAGGCCTGACAATTGAAGACTGTGAAGATTGTTACGAAGAGATTTTCCTGTTGGATATATAAATATGGTGGGGGAAAAATAATAGGACGGCGAGCACATCCTGCTTTCAGATCTAAGCTCATGAAGCTAGCGTTTGGAACAATTTTGAGGAATTCCACTCACCATCATTTTGTCAAAGTCAAAATTGCTGTTCAATTTGCCTCAGGAAGTCTGGCAAAGGGCCAGTCTCATTAAAAGGAATTTTCTTATAGTTTTTTGGATCGTATCTCGTTCTTTCTTTTCTTAAAATTTTCTTTCTGTTTCTTATTTGTTTCTTTCACTGCATTCCCCTATTGTCAATTAATGAAGGGGGAAAAGATGTAAGCATTTATGATGTAGATTTGTTGTCGATTTTCAACAATGGTTCATTAGTAATTCAAGTTTTTTGCAGAGCATGCATAATCTTCTGTTGTGTTAGTCCATTGCACAATGTTCATGACTTAGAATCTGACTGTGGAACTAATTATCGATATGTAGAGTTATACTGTTTAACTTGGTGAGTGCAATGCAGCATCAGGGGATCGGTTCCTAATGAAGAGGATGCTACAGGAATGGTGTTTACAATCAGAGTGGTAATGCACTTGGTGCTAAATGATCTTGAAACTCTGAGCTTCAAAGTACCTCCTACTCTGCAACTGCAGTGGGAGCCTTCCGACAACTAAAAAAAGGTTTTTAATGAAGAAAACTGCCAGCATTCTGCTTGTGCCGAAGTACATTGCAGCCTCGGTTGTAAGAATCGGATGTGGTGGTTTGTAGGGGTTGTGGAGGAAAAAATATTGGGCGTAACTGTTGCATTATGTCATCATGTTGACATAGTGTAACAGTCCAGTGATAAGATGTTATATGACAGATGAATTTCATATATTTTAGTAACCATGTTGTCATTTGTAGGTTTATTATTAGACGGTGACATCACATATCAATGATGACATGATATCACCGTTAAACGTATTACTTTCTTGTTGGGGAGGCCTTGAGGTCCCATAGCGGTTTTTGTTAGCAAGATTGGATGGAACCTCTCTTGTAGTAGAAAACCTAAATGGCAAATCTTATTAACCATTGCAAGTTCAGCACTTGTCACGGGTGTTTTTGGGGGATCCTACGTGCTGCAATCTGTAGGACTGGATTAGAGATTTACTTTGGCAGAATTCCCATGAAAAATCAAAGCACTAACAAGGCCGACCCAACAGTACTAAACATAAAGCTCAGATTTTAGGTCCTAAATGTTTAAAAAGCCCTATTATTTTAAGTACATTATTAGCCCACAAATAAATTTTAAGCCATAAAAAGGGCCCCCCAAAAATTAAGTCCAATCAAAATTTTTATGAAAAAATTGTGAATATGTAAACTATATACTACTTATTTGTGAAAAAAAAGCCACAATATAAATCTTATGTATATAAGTTATTATTTGTGTAAATGTTTTGTAAACAAATAAACTTTGTTGTTTTTTAAATATTTCATTTACGTAAAAACTATTTTTCTTTATTCATGGAAGATAATTTAGGCAGTTAATTGTGGAATTTAATTTCTTATTTTTGTGGACAACACGTTTGAATTTTGAACTACATCTTTCTCTTTCATTTAAAGACTGAAATTCTGAAAACAATACTCTTCGTCTTATTAGTTGTTTCCTTATTTTTTTGATTCTGTTTTACTTGGTAAGTGGTTTCCTAAATTAAAGGATAATTAATTGTTTAAATTTTGAATAGAATCATTTCAAAATTCAAACGATTAATTATCCTTTAATTTAGGAAACCAAACACCGGTGCCAATGGTGGAGACATGCGAGCAACTGCTGTCCCTTCACATTATTTTCGTTGATTTTCTTAGACAGGTAGAAAACTTTTCAAATTGAAAAAAAGTTATTTTGGACTTTAGTTATAGTGGGTGAACTTTTTTACAAATATTTTTAAAAGGTATATAATTCCAATATTGTGTACTGACCCATGTTTTCCTAATTTTTATTGTAATAATTTGGGCCCATGATCTAATCCATAACTTTAACAACCTAAAAATTAGAAATTAAAAAAATAATAAAGTAATCAAAAGTCAACTCATATTTACCCTCGACCATTCTCTCTCTCTCTCCATCCAGTAAACAAACAAGAGCAAAAGTTGAAACTTCTATCTCGACCGCACTACCACATTCTTCTTCTTCTCTTTCACCTTTTTTTAAAAAAATAAATTATTTTAAAAAAAAAACTCATTTAGTATTTCTGCTTTAGGTCTCAATTGTCTTGAGCCGCCCCTAAGCACTACTTAGGAGGCACATAAATTAACCAACCAAAGTACGAAAATTAGGTGTGGCAATTTTTTACTCAACTTGACGACACAACTCGAACTTGATACAAATTTTATGACATGAACTCGATTATAAATTGACACGAACTCGAAAATGACTCAACGAGTGAGCACGAAATATAAACGGGTCATGTTCGGGTTCAACCCCGCCAAACTCGAAATTGACACGATCAACCCGTTAATTTAAAAATTGGCATTTTCTCTATTTTTTCGTTTTGTGTGGTAACACGAACAATATGAAATTAACACGATCAAAATGTTTAATTAACATTATAGAAATAAAATATTAATTATTTATAACTGTTTATTAGACACTAACATAATTATTGTATAAAAAAGATAAGGTTACTCGTTATTATTATTATTATTAAATTAATTTTTAATTTATAGAAAAAGAATAAGTATAAGTTCAATTAAGTAAAAAAAGAATCTTAGCCTAAAATTTTTTATTCAAAATTTATGTGGATCAACACGAACATGACACGAAAATAAATCGGTCAACTTGACACGATATGATTAGTTAAGTAGGTTGTGTTAAAGTTGACTAATGTTCGAAACGAACCCTAAATTATCCTACACAAATCCGATACGACACGACTTGATTACCACCCTTAACTAAGATTGCCTAAACAATGGAGGACGCATTTTTTTTGAAATCATCAACTTCTTTGCCTGGAACTAAAACGGGTCTTACCTGACTCCTATCTATAGTGGAGTCAAAGAGAGACGAATAATATGCATTTTTATTCCAATTTTAGATAAAATAATTCTTAAACTTAATTCATCGATTAGACGGACAAGAACCTCCCTATACTGTCTGACCACAAAACATAGAAAGAGCTTTTGATCAAAATCTTTATTCTCAAACTCTGTCAATTTTAAACTTATTTCTCAAAGAGTAATGCTATTGAGACTTAATTTATTGACCTAATTCACTATGACATTTAGATTGATTGTGGGCTCCATCAAATATTAAAACTTGATGTTGATCCAATGATTCCACTAAAACCACATCATTATGTCAACAAATTATGTCAGATTTTTAGGTCAAAATAAGATTACTCTTTCTCAAATCCAGTCTTTTTTTGAAAACATCATTTTGAAAGACGTTTTCATGAGAAAACTAAACACAGTTTGTAATCATAAAGAATAAAAATATCATCTAAAGTGAAGACTTTTAAAAATGTTAGTTTTAATGACGTTTTTAATTTAACGGTTTTGGAAACAACGTTAAACTTAAAAAGGTCATTTGGAATGACGAATTTTAAGGGTGTCATTCCAAATGACGATTTAGGCGAATAAAATCAATTTCTACTTTCCTAAATCACTTATCCCTCTTTCAAATTTTCAAATCCATACTCAGATCCCTATCTCCACTCCTCCAACTACCCATCATCTTCTTTGATGACGAAGACTTCTCTGACGAGGAAGACCTCTCCGACGAAGAAGACCACTCCGGCATAGCAGCCTCCAACCAGTCACCCACCATTCGAGGAAGAAGACCTCTCAAATCGTTATCTCCTCTCCTTCAACTAGTCACCCACCATCTTATCTGATGACGAACACCACTTTGACAATAAAGACTATCATTTGCTCTGGCTACTTTCGAAGTATTTTTCCCCTTCTCTCTTTCTGTCTATTTCTCTCTCTGTATCTATATCTAAAAAATTGTGTAAACAGTTTGATTCTTGTTGCTTCTCTCATTATCAATGCTTCTGCCTCTGGTGGATCTTTTGTGTCTTGAATTCGAATCTTTGCTCTCAGCATTGTGCCTTGGTGGTTTCTAATAATTTCTGTTGTGCAAGAATTTTCTTTTCCAATTGTTGCATCTACATTGAGCTTTAATTCTCCTTCACTTGGTGGAATCCATTGGATTTGTCTTTTGAGATCTAGGACTTTTTATTGCTTTGATGTTTTTGCTTGGTAAAGAGAAGAACTATTAAGAACTCTTCAAAATCCATGTTAATCTCTTTCATGATTTGTTGGGGGGTCAGCTTTACATTGTGAAAAATGGGCTTGCTTCTCCATGCCCAGAGTGAGTTTGCTAGGATTGTTGTGTATGGAATCAGTTGTGTTCCTAGAGCGTTTATTAAAAGGAGATGTGGAACCTTTTCTATTCAAGTTCAAAGCCTCTCTCTCTCTCACACACACAAAACATAAGAAATGAGTTAGAGATAAGATATTTATCTTACTCATTTTGGATGGGAATTCAAGTNGGGTTTATTAAAAGGAGATGTGGAACCTTTTCTATTCAAGTTCAAAGCCTCTCTCTCTCTCCCTCTCTCTCTCTCACACACACACACAAAACATAAGAAATGAGTTAGAGATAAGATATTTATCTTACTCATTTTGGATGGGAATTCAAGTATATGAGAGGATCGAGGTTGAGTAGAAGTGGGGTTGAAGCAGCCAACAACCCCTCCTTTTTTTTACTTGAAAGGTTGGTAAGTTTTCCTTTCCCGTACAATATTTTCAATCCAAGCCAAAATAGGAAAAAGTGTAACCAAAGAATCAAAGAATCTCTCAAAATGTTTCTGGTGAAATGTTAGGTAGTATGAATCAATCATTTTATTTTTCATCTTTGGNAACCAACAACCCCTCCTTTTTTTTACTTGAAAGGTAGGTAAGTTTTCCTTTCCCGTACAATATTTTCAATCCAAGCCAAAATAGGAAAAAGTTTAACCAAAGAATCAAAGAATCTCTCAAAATGTTTCTGGTGAAATGTTAGGTAGTATGAATCAATCATTTTATTTTTCATCTTTGGAATTCAAAGAAATTGTCAAAGAAAGTACACCATCCAACCCTCAATGTCTAGACACAATGACACAATTATAAAAGGTGTGCTCTTAGCATTTGTTGGAAGATAGTTTTTTGAAAATAAACTCTAGTTATTTACAATAAAAAACTATATTTCCCATGCAACCACTGGTCTGATCCCTGTGAATTTTGGAGATAAGTACATTGGTATTTCTTATTTTTGCACTAATCGATTTTCCAATTACGTCTAATTTTGACATTATTTTAAGATATTTTGTGTCATCTCCCCCAACAAAACATCTATTATTCAAGGAATCCTTTGAATACCTAGATTGTT